GGTGTGAGACACTGCCCGGGCCCCCGGCACCCCCCCCCCGCCGGTAAGAACATTTCACTTGGCAGCCCTAATAAAACTATACTATTTAATGAGTTTTGTTTAGATTTCCAGTTATGACTAGAGATGTAAAATTTCTGGAAATCTTGAAACTATAGGGGGGGGGGACAACATTTTTTCCAATTCCCCCCCTCCCAGGAAAAAGTGGAATTTGGGGGGGAAATGACCTATATGCAATAGCTACTACCTTATCAAATCTAAACTAATTTTACTGCTTTAACAACATAAAATGCTTCATTTATGACTCACATCATATAAAATTGCAATATTTTACATATTTATGGAATTTAAAAGTTACATATGCCTTAATTCTCTATAAGCAAAAGTGCAAATATACCCAATACTTGACAAAAAATACAAGTTGATGCACCCTGTGCTAGTTAATCACATGTACCTTAATTTTTGCTACCGGGTTAGAGAGCTCAGTTCTCAATGAGTTTTCCTCTCAGACTTTGATGTCTTTATGCTTTGATGTTTGTTTTAAAGCATAGTGTTGGTCTCTTAGCTCTTACTCTATGCTAGGGATCCCAAGTCCCCCTGGGGGGTGGGGAAACCCCCGCCCCAGAGGCCCGTTCCCTGGCACCGCCGGATCGGGCCCCAGGGGGAACTCCGCCCCGATGTGCGCGTCACCTGGAAGTGACGGGAGGACGCCAGGCACGCTGGGGGCAGGGCCAAGGCCATCCAAGGGAAAGCTCTATGGTGCCTGGCGTCCTCCTGTCACTTCCGGGTGACGTGCGTGCGGCGTGTGGGCGCAACAGACGCCAGCCGGGAGCCCCCCGCTCCCAGCGAAGATCCACTTGGCAACCCTACCATTTTTATCTATATGGGTGATAATTTAAAAAAACTTGGGTAGCAGTCGTTTTTCTTCCTCAAGAGGCATGGATTGCCCTCAAGTTGAAAGAAATGTAGCTTGTATTCCACTACACTTTTGGTTCTGGGGATTTTTGTGAACTTCATGCCTCAGTTCTCCCTGGCTATTGATTCAGGCCTGGAAAGTGATTTTTCTCAAGCAGAAATTGTAGCCCAGTTGTCTGGTGCTACTTGCTCTGCACTCTTGGTAATTGTGCCCTTGTGTGTGACACACACAGCCTGTGGAGTGAATCTGTGGAGAGCTGCATGCAGAGGATCTTGTTCTGCGACAGTGGTTGAGCTTGGTGACTTTCTAGTCCCTTCTCTTCTTAAGTCTTTGAACTGAACTAACACTTTTTGCATTGCAAAATTACTGCAGATTTTGCAGAGCTCTCTCACTGACTGCGTGCAAGTGTTCACTGAGGACCTTTGTAGAAGCAAGCTTTCTTGGAACTTGATGCTCATCTTAAGTGTGAATGCTTGGGTTGCCTCTGACAGGTTTAAAAGTCCAGAGGTAAATCAGTTTATTAATGCCAACGTAAACAAGAATTTATCTAATCTATAGGTTGTTTTCCTTATAGAATTGAGAGAAGATGGTTTTCAGCCCCAAATCTTCTTGGTGCAAGGAGTAAAAGCTTTACTTACTGCTTTAAAGTTATGGATGAAAAAAGATGTAAGTTTGAATATATAATTACACTAATGAAGGTTTTGTTTTACATCACTGATAGGAGAGCCTTCCAAAAAGCAGCTCCACTTTATAGTTTCCATATAGAAATATGCTGTTTTTGTTTATGTTTAAGGGAAATATCACTAATTGTTTTTCACATTTTGCTTACAGCTGGTAACAGAACATGCCTTTGAAATTCCAGACAACGTTAGACCAGGGCAACTCATAAAAGAACTTTCTAAAGTGATTCGTTCTGTAGAGGTAAGAATAAAACCTTTTCTGATCAGGGCTTTTTTTTTTTTTAAGTGCCAAAACTCTCAAGAGGGAAATTAAGTTTTCAATCTGTACACTTATGGGGTACTGCTACAACTACAAAACCTATACTGCTTATGGGGTAATGATAAAAGAAACCGGGAGAAAAAGATATGTGAATCAAATTTCGAAATCTGAATATGATTTTGGCCTTTAGTAGAAGCATAGAGTTGCCTCTCACCTTGATTTCAGTAGTATGCATAGTTCCATGAACTATCATTGTGCTAGACCACACAGGGACTAGATAGAATAACTGTATTCAAACTGGCAGGCTACGTAATCGATGACACAGTTAATTTGAAATCAAATCTTTGTTACAATTATGTGGAATGATCAGGCTGATCTGAACAACTCTCTTTTGATTTAAAGGAAGAGAACAGCAAACCAGTGAAAGCTCAGGGAATTCTTGGTGTGTGCCAAGTTTCACGGTCCTCAAATGAATCAGCCTCCACTCATCATTCCAGACGAAAAGCAAGGAAGCTACGAGACCATGCTGTCAAAACGCCTTCTAATTTGGACATTCTGGAACTCCACACAAGGGAAGTGCTCAAAAGACTAGAGATGTCCCCGTGGGAAGAGGCAAGTATTTTTTAAAGAAAGGAAGCACAACCAGAATAATTTAAATATGCAGTTGAGAGGCCATACCAACTATGCGGAGTTTCTATTTTGTTTTGTTTCATTTATAGCCTTCCTTTATTGCTGAGGCTCAAGGTGTATTACAAAGTATTTTTTAAAATGGAATCAGACATAGGGTTGTCAGCCCTGGGTTAGGAAGTACCTGGAGTTTTTGGGGATGGATCCTGAAGAGGGCAGGGTTTAAGGAAGGGAGGGCCTTCAGTGGGGTATTGCACAGTGGCCGTTTTCTCCCGGTGAACTGATCTTTCTCCCGGAGATCAGTTGTCATCCCAGGAGCTCTTGAGTGACCATCTGGAAGCTGACAACCCTATCAGATGGCAGAAGACATCCAATAAACAATGCAACAGGGTTACAGAATTAGAAAACAATGCAAACAAAAAATGGTTACGGGCGCGATATATCGTAATGCAGAAAATAAGTCACAAAGGTGGTAGACAATCCAGTAAAAGCAAGGTGGTGCATACAATAAACGTTGCAATAGATTTATCCCCTTATAAAAGCATCATCTGTTATGCTGCAGGTCAACTCCCTTTATAAAACGACCCACCTGAACATTTCTGTTCTGTGCATTCTGTGAAATGATAGAATTGTGGGGGCCTTCTTGATCTCCTCAGGCAGGCCATCCAGCAAGATGGGAGGCAGAACAGCGAATGTCGTTGCAGATCTTAAACTTGTTTGCAGGGTGGCACTCTCAGACGGTTTTGCATAGATGAGCAAAGCTACTGTACATAGTAGGAAAGGAAGTTCTACAGGCACATGGGTCCAAGGAAAGTTGATAATACAGAAAAAACGTAAAAAACATAAAATGAGTGAGTTTGGGAACTGAAGGGCCAGACTAGACAGTGCTCTAAACCTGTTAGCTCCTACCTCCTTTCTACTCTGCATTTCCCTGTCGCTGCCTTTTGTCAGTGGATACTGCTAGTACAGATTGGAGGAATTATGCAAAGTTATGACATTTGGCAAGGTCTACTAGCATGTAGGGTGGTTTGAGCATGGGATTGGTTTTGGTTCTGATGATGCTTTAGTATATTTTGCATGCTCTTGCAGTTTGATATTTCACTGCATTGCTGGTATATTATTATGCTGAAAACTACCTGAGATGTTTTAGACTGAGTGAGATAATTAGAAGGGCTAGGCTTGGAGGAGTGAAATGGGTACACTGGTGCTAGTAAAGCTTTATGAAATTCACTTCCAAATTTCAGAATTATCCCAATTTCTGTGCTTGGCAGAGATACAGGGTAGAGCATCTTCTGAAAGGGAAGACTTTCCAGTGCTTTGTCAATACATAGTAAATATTCAATTAAAAAAAGAAAAATTGATAATAATGTAGTGCGTGGCCACTATAATATTAGGCAAGTTTGGCGGTTTCAAAATTGTAACTGATGTTTTCAGATTATTATTTCTAGGAATTGCTTAAGAATATGCATGCATGTTTTATTGACTTGTAAACTGAGGATGGGCAGATAAAACCACAAACAAATATAATAATCCACATTAAAAAAAAAAAATGAATTCACTTGATTGGCTGCACAAATCAGAACCGGAGCTAAAATCCTTATTTGTGTGTCCTCTCGCATTGTGGAAGTGATATTGTAATCTCCAGTCTGAGATGGAACTAACAAATAATGCCAGTAATGGCATGGGGTCTGAAACGAGGTGCTGCAGTGATCACTGTGAAGGAATGTTACATTTTGTTGAAATAGAACTGGCATATCATGCACAGTTCTTCAGATGTGCTAACTGTATGCCAAACAGTTTTCATTGCCTTCATTTGTTTCTTAACCAAACATGATAAATGATCTTTATTTTTTTACAGACACTACTCAAAATTAATTTCTACATAAAGCTTTGAATTTGATAACATTTAAACCATACCTGATTTGTGATCGCCCCTCCCCCCCAAGTTAGATATCGTAGTTCAAATATTTGTTGCCATTGGGACATAAAATTAACTTGGGATACTTTTAAAATTTGTTCTCTAAATCAATGTAAATGTGCTGTGTCAGATCACATTTTATTTAGGACATTGGATAATTTTCCAGAAATATTTGTGTTCTAATTTTCCTGGAAAAACCCACGTTATTGGTATTTGGAACCTCCTGTATGGGATTGTTTCCTCTTGTTCTCTGAGGCAGCACAGCAGAGAACCTTATGTGAAGAACTTCATGTGGTGGAGATTGTAAAGCAGGGACCCCCAATCGCTTTCAGTCTGTGAGCACCTTTTGAATTTTGAAAGGGAGTGGTGAGTACCACCCCAAGATGGCCACCTCAAGAGGTGGAACCAAACCCAAAAGGTGAAGCCAAATGCAGTACCCTCCCTCCTTGATTTGCAAAAGAATTGCTGAGGTGGGGATAAAAAGAAAGGAAGGAAGGCAGGGTAGAGAGGAAGGGAGAAAGAGAAGGAATGCAACCGCATGAGAACTAAGGAAAGCCTGGGTCCTCCTGATCCTCCAATGGGTACAGGTGCTATTGGAGCAGAAAGCCCTTTCACTTGAATGATGGCAGACAATAGCCAACCCTGCTTTACAATGCCCCCCACTTTCTGACAAGCTTAGAGGGTGCCAAGGGAAATACTGGCAGGAGCCATGGCATGCACAAGGACCACATTAGGGAGCCCTGTCGTAAACCATGTCAGCTATTTAAAGGTGGTGATATGTATACCTGAGAAATTTCAGGCACACATAACAGTGTCAAATTTCCTTTTAAAAAACCCCACAAAGTTTGAGAACATGTAATCCAGTTCCTAGTTCACAAAGGGTAGGGGGTAACGTCTTCAGGAACAAGTTGCTGATATTTGTCATTGCTTTTACTGATTATTTCTAGAGGGCAGGAACCCAAGAGTATTTATGCAGATACATTGTAAAAGTTGCTGTGGTGCCAACCCAAGTGGGATAATTGAAACATGCTGATAGAGAATGTGTTCACCAAGTCCCCCCCCCCCCCCGGTGCAGAAAATGGTACTGGAATCCAGTGTTTTGGAGGGGTCAAGAGATATAGTAATTTTGGGGGGGGGTATGGAGCTGCGGTGGCTCAAGTGGTTAAGACGCTGAGCTGCAGGCTGTGGAAGGACAGTAGTTCAGCAGTTCGAGACCCGAGTTGCCGCATGACGGAGTGAGCTCCCGTCTCTAGTTCCAGCTCCTGCCAACCTAGCAGTTCGAAAGCAAGAAATTGCAAGTAGATAAATAGGTACCACTTCGGTGGGAAGGTAACAGCGTTCCGTGCGCCTTGGTGTTTAGTCATGCCAGCCACATGACCACGGAAACGTCTTCGGACAGCGCTGGTTCTTCGGCTTTGAAACGGAGATGAGCACCGCAACCCTAGAGTCGGATTCGACTGGCTTTCAAGCAAGGGAACCTTTACCTTTACTATGTCTGTGTAAGAGAACAAAATTGTACACACAAAACTGCTCTTTCTGTACCATAACTGCTCTTAATAGTATGATATTTATTCTGTTACTGCCAAGTTACACTGAAACCTCTGAAAACCAGCAAAGAACACTGATGCTGTTTGCACAGAGAAGTAACTTATTAACGTACCAGTTACTAAAGGTGAAGTCTTGCTTTTGTCTTTTGCTTCAGGACACAGCAAATTGTAAACTGAATGGAAGGTTTAACAAGCCTCTTCAGCCATCTTCAACTGTTCCTGAATGGCGAACGAAGGACAATGATTTACGGCTTCTGCTGTCAAATGGAAGAATAATTAGGTATAAAACACCAGCCTGTGTTCTGCTCCTTGTCTTTTGCTTTAGGCAGTTCTGCAGATCTTGTCCACTTAGGATTTAATTGACAGATCTGGGTTAAGAAAGGGATATAGAAGGAATCCAGTCCTATGAGCAAACTCAGAAAGATGAACACATTGGGGAGCAAAGGAAAAAAAAAATGTGCTGCTCACTTGGATTGTTTTCAGCTGCTTGAAAATAGTTAAAACTCTCCTATTAAGGAGAAGAAACAACTAACAATGCTGCGGAATCTTTGAGAAATTCTTCAGCAAAAATACAGTGTAAACAAATTCATACTGGAGAAACATGAATGAATTATTGATCTAATAATCTTCTCACTTATACAGTTTAATAAATGAATAGCTGGCAGCTTTTGCTTGGTAGAGAAAAAAGTGTTAGAAATGTTACTGTCACTGCCCTAAAGGGTACTTACAAAAGTGAAAATCTGTTACATCTTTAAAAAGAGATGGAGAAAAGCCCAAATGGATACCCTTTATAACAGGTTATTTTATGACAGACATGAGAGGCAGCCCTTTAGAGATCCAAGTCTTTACACTGCGGACAGTGAAGATGAGGATGACAGGACAAAATCAAAGGAGGAAGAAACTGTTAAGTCAGAAGAGCAAAACTCAGAGGAAGCCGATGGCAGTGCAGATGCCCAGAAACCACTGAACAGTAAGTTGGCTATGTCTGTATCTTGAACCAGAAATCCAGAACTATTGTACTAAGGCCCCGGTCACACGGGCCGGATATCGCAGGGGGGGAGGCGTGGCTAATTGCCCTGGCGCAGTTTGATCAGCGATTACACGATCAGACGCGCCGGCGGCACACCACGGGTCCTTCCCTCGGCGCCAGCGGGTAAACGAGGGTGGCGATCACACGGTGATCCTGCAGCGCAGCAAAGAAGCGGTGCGACGCGATCACACCAGCAGTGGCTAGGCGCCGCTGCCGTGACAAACGGGGTCATTTTTTTAAAGCCGAAATGGCACTTTCGCTTTCCTCTTTGTGCGCATGCGCCGTTGGGTGCTTGTGCGCATCTTGTGGAGACTTGGGGGGGGGGAACCTGTTTGCGAAGGGACATGGGCGGGCGCCGGATGCCACCACCGGAAACGCGATCAGACACAAGCCCTTGTCCCGTGGTTTCCGGAAACTAGTACCTCGGAGGTACTAGTTTTTAACTCCGCATCTTCGGCGGGAAGCCTTGGGTTCGCCACGGGAGCTCTACGCTTCCCAGATGTTGCGATGTGATCGTGCCCGGAAAATCCGCCTATCTTCCGTCTCTGTGGCGTGTCTAATGCTCCATGTGACCGCAGCCTAAGAAACCTAACTTGATAAAGCTGTGAGTGACTTAATTGGCTCAGATAGTTTCCCTAATGTATACATTAGCAATACCTTTCCTAATGCATACATTAACTATACCAAACAAGATTATGGGAGGGTTTCTCAGTACTCTTCAGCAAATATGATAAAACTGGTAAAGTATTTAAACCATATCTTTGTTCCTTTAAAAGTCCAACTCAGACTTAACATGTTTGCATATCTTGCGTCGTTATATTGTCCTAGCTATAGGTACAAGTATTTTATAAATCAGTGGGTTGACTCCAAGCCTCAGAGCCAGCTCCGTTGGAGATGCAGATATTTATTTAGATATTTATACCCTGCTTTGGCTATCCGGTGGGGACCAAAAGCAGCTTACAACATTCTTCCTACCACAGTGTTATCTTCCAAACATCCCTGTGAAGTACCGTATTCTGGCCCAAGGTCACCCAGTGAACTTCCATGGCAGAGTAGGGATTTGCATAATTATAGTTCCTAGCAGTTACAGTAGTCTCTTGGAAGAAGAAATTAATTTCCTAAAACTGGGAAGTAATCTGTTAGCCTTTCATTCCTATTCTGCTTGACTGCATAGAATGAGATTTTAATTTTTTGGAGTGTGCATGTCTGTGTGTACAAGTGTGGAGATGGGCTCAAAGCAGTGCACAGACACTGGTGAAGGTCCTTTGGGACAAAGAAATTTAAGAGGCACACATATGATGACTGTGTGAAAAATATCCTAAAGTTGTTGCTCTTCTTCTCCCTTCCCCTAAGTGTTCTTTGAAAGTGTGAAATCAGAACTCAGGAATGGAACCTCAGAATACTCTGATATTTCTGACTCAGAAGACTCTGAGCCTGATTGCACTAACCAGGTAAATACTAGAGTTTGGCAGGTACATTATCATAATATCACAGGAAACGATCAGAAGAGTTGTTAAATATGTTGTTGAAGGCTTTCATGTCCGGAGTTCATTAGTTGTAGATTTTCCGAGCTGTATGGCCATGGCCTTGGCATTGTAGGACCTAACGTTTCGCCAGCACCTCTTACTGGCATCCTCAGAAGTATAACACACAAAGATGGAGTACTCTCTGTGTCAAGGTCAAGGAGTTGTTAAACTTTAGAACATATAAATGCATCTAAATCTGAATGAAGATAATGGAAGAAAATGCCAAGGTCAGTTATGTGTTTAAAAATAGGTTAGGTGATTTATACCTAGAATAGATATCCTTTTATCCTGTAACTTGACCCTTCTAAAATTAATTTCATTCTTAAAGTCAGGAGAAATAGCAAGTATCTACTTAGCTGATGTTTGCCTTTTGAAGACCTGGCTTCCAAATGAAGATGTTTCTTTCTAACTTAGCATCTATTCCAGAAATATATATTGTATGCCATTTGACCACTTCTGAAATATGTATCTTCTCTTTCTCCCCAATACTGTCTGTAGTTGTAGAGTCAATAATTCCCTTACTTGAAACACTAGTCAGCATTATTAAAGGAATGGTAATATGTGGACTTAAGGGTGCATGGATGCTGTCAGAGTAAGAGGGATGGGGGTCTCCCTCATATAGCAACCTCTCTCTGAGAACATTGCAGTTTGATTTGTCAATCCCTTATCAAAGATACTGTTAATTTACCAATGTGTAATTCTGATTTAATGTTCTTCTGTATTACACTGAGTAATATAGTCTCACTTTCTGCAAAGCAAAAGACATCATAAAAGTCCAAGGCTGCCACTCCCACATCGTGCAGGAAGATGTATAATTGGTTTTCTCACTTTGTGTTAGGGCCCAGTCCTGATTAGGCGCATCTATGTTTTATGGGCCCAAGAACTTTCAAGTACCTCTAGACTTATTTGCCCAGGACCTTGCTGTGTTCCTAGTTTCTGTGTTAGTTCACACACAGAAATACAGAGCCAGGTGGTCAGCCATGTTGGACTGAAGCAGTAGAACAAATTTAGAGTCCAGTGGCACCTTTAAGACCAACAAAGTTTTATTCACGGTATGAACTTCCGTGTGCCTTGCACAGAAATACTAGCAGCTGTGTGTCTGTGTGTGGGGGGGTTAAATTGGCATGGTATTTCTTGTATGAGAACCTTACCTTCCTGTACCACCTGTACACAGCTGTGATTTTGGTATTTGTCATGAGTATGAGTGGGCTGTGTAAAGTATCATGTGAGTTACAGTTTTGAATAAATGAATATACCAGAGATCTGAGAAATGTAGACCATTCCGTGCTTCTGGGCCTGATTTCTCTTGATTTCTGCTTTTCCTACATAGCCCCTTTCCTTTTTCTCTGTTTTCCTCCCATTATTTATTTCTTAATTCCAGACATCAGCTGGTAACTTGAATGAGAGAAGTAGCCATCTCAAATCAAATTTTAGGCAGAGAATATACTATTTGTCAGTCAGTGCAAGTCAATAAGTGCTAAGTAATGTCATAGAGATCTAGAAAAATGGCATTATTGTGCTTGCCCATGGAACGCTGAATTTCCATCTTTAGAAGTGTAATATTCCTGTTGGGAAAAAAAATCTCAGTTTGTAGGGGTTTACAAAGAGGAACTCTGCATAGGGCAAATTTGTTATTTGTTATCATTCTGTTGTTTTTTGTAGTCACACTGTATGCTATTAGTTACAGCTGGTAGTCATTAAATAAAAACAATAACTGTTGGTTAGTTTGGGGATTGAGGTTTGTCCCATGAAATGCTTAGGTGTTTTTTTCCCCCACCAGCAAAAAGATTCCTCTCTAGAGGAGTCAGAAAGCTCAGGAGATGAGAAACAGGAAGTAACTTCAAATTTTAAAGAGGAATCTGAAGTAACAAGTGACCTCTATCAATCTTCACAGAAGCCATCAAGACATGTAACTATAAGTAAAAGGTCTGTTAAAGAGAGTAATGGGAGCTTTTCAAGCCAATTGTATTCCTTACTTTCTGTTTAGTAAGAATATAAAATGTTTTCTTGTAAGAATGTGTTCCATTCTTCAATGTTTTCCCAGGGAATGTCCTACCTCGACAAGTACGGAGGAAGAAGCTATTCAGGGCATGCTTTCTATGGCAGGATTGCACTATACCACTTGTTTACCAGGTTACACACAGAGCACAGACTGCACTGATAGAAAAAGCTCTCTTCAGGAACACAGAAGCTATCCCAAAAGTCGGCATAAAGACAAGCTGTCTTCCCATAGTCATAAAGCAGAAAGTGGTAGGTCTTTTCTTACAGATATATATTGTATTTAAGCTAAAAAAATCTAAACCACAGATGCATAAAGTGTGTTGCATGACTCAGCTAGGTGTACACTGCATTCCCATTGAGGAAAATACCTGTATTGCAAATTCCTGCATTTGTTGGTTACCTGCTGAAACCCCTGCACAATGCTGAGTATTTAACCTGTAGAGTAAGTGTCAAGCTTCATAGATTTGGTTCATAGTGTCCTTTATATCAATAAGAGAATCTATAGCATACATTTATTCCAGTTTACTTTTTAATAGACCTTTTGTGCATGCTTGATTACTCCGGATTTCGTTGGAAGCCGATCCACAAGCATTGGAATCAGGTTGGGTGGGTTGTTCTGCACATCTGCCCCCCTGTGTATTTTTACAGTTGCGTAGTCAGTGTATTTTCTTTCAGATGTGGTTTAGATAGAGAGGATTTTCAAGAGAGGGAGCTGCCATCATTGGTGTTGTTATCTGTGGCATCACAGTACTCCCTTATTTTGTTTTTTAAGGCCCTAAAATACTGAAATAATGTTGTAGTGTAATGATAGTTTAAGCAGGTTGTCTGAATTCTTAGCTTTCATTTTTTAAACCCTTTCCCTCGCAGAAATATAAGGGAAAAAGCATATTTCTACAAGAAAAGGGGCTAGAGACTTACTTTTTTAAAAAAATGAAAACTGGGAATTCCGAGAACCTGCTTAAACTATCATTACAACATTATAGGATTATATCACTATTTTAGGGCCATTTTTAAAAATTGAAATTACTCATCTTGGAGGGGTGATTTAACGACAATGACAGTCCTGTCATTGAAAAGTGGTCTGGAGGTGGGTGGGACGAAGAAAACCAATAGAAACATTACACACTACAAAAAAGCTGACTTGAAATCGGCTTCCAGAAAAATGTTGGGGTAAAAGTAGTCTCAAAAAGAGCTGGGGAAAAACAAAAGAATGAAGTGAAAAGGGACAAAAATGCATGTGGAAATCAGGATAAACCGAAGCAGTATGGGTCCAGAACCGACTGAAAAAACCCCATGCAGAAAAGCCCATGGAGAATGTACCTGTACATGTTTCAGCAACCAGAGCTTACTCGTCCCAGCTATCTATATTTCCTCTCGATATTTGTGCAAATTCAGAGGCCAAAGGCAGATGCATCATCTTCAGATAGCACATGGGGCCATCAAACCTGGTTACAGTTTTATGGAAAGGCAGGATATGAAGTTGGCTTAGAAAGTTAGGGAATCAGAAGTAAATACATTCTTAGTATCCACATTATCAAATTAGTGAATGGAAGAAGAGTATTTCTAAAAGAATAGAGTCTTCCTGTGGCTACTTACGGGATTAGTGACATCTGTTTGAACACTGTGTTTGCCAGTTTCATATGCTCATGCTACCATAGCAAGGGATTTTACAGTAGTAAATACAGTAATTTTAGATAAACTGCAATGAGAGCTATAGATTTCAGTGAAAGCATATTTCTTAACAATAAAGGAAAGGGGAGTTGATAGCAAAGGAAAAGTTTCCCTTTAATGCCACAAGAGATGCAGTTCTGATACTTAAACTACTTCCACCTTTTTTAGATTTAGTAACTTTTATATCCTGCTTTAATATGCGCATAGCTATTCTGAGTACGGCAAGCTAAGTTCTATAACTTTATTAGCCATTTTTCAGAATTTACTATTTTTCCAATACTTTATGAAAGCCAGTCCAACTGCCACTAATATATAAAATAAGACTTCTGTTTTTCCTGAAATTTTCAGGAGATAAAATTTAGGACTGAGGGCTTGTAGTGTATCCATAATCATTTCCCTAGCTCTCCTGCAGAATGAATAAAATCTTTCCCCTGTCAGTCTGTATTTCCATTGTGTCAGCCTCTTGTAACATCACAAATTAACACCAGCGAGCAGGTATAGAAGCATAAGGGGCTCCATAAGTGATAAACATTTAACAAACTAAACATTTAATAAACATACTTGTCACTTGTTCAAACTAGCACAGTGATCTGACATATATTATTTAAGGATGTGTTTATAAAGTGAAATTTGATTGCAGTGAACTGTTAGTGGTCTAGATTAGGGGTGTGCAAAAAAACTTGGTATTTTCCATGCTCGGGTATATTGAACCTGAAAAATATTTGTATTTTCCAATATTCCCAAATCCCAATATGCGTATGGCAAACCCCCCCCCCCCAAGTCTGAAAAAGATTGGACCAGGCAGTCTAATTCTAAGGGAGCCCAAAGAAGGTGCCCCCATCCTCTATTGCTTTCAATGGAGGGGGGGAAGGCATCTAAAGAAGCTATGGTCTCTTTAAATGCCTTCACCACTTCTGTGGCGGCAAGACTCAGCAAGTGAACTCAGAAGGCATATGCGGCAGGGCTTGGAGAAGCAGATGTTTAAAGAGACCACAGTCTCTTTAAATGCCTACTGCCTTCTCCAAGCGTGGCGGTGTGACTTGCTGCCCCCATGGCGGGGCTTAGAGGAGGAGAGGGCTTCTCGGTATCGCTGAATGCACCTGAATAAAAGCCAAAAAAAATCAGCTTTTTTTCGGGGTCCGCTATGTCGGTGGCTGAATACAGATCTCTGATCTGCATTTGGCTTTAAAATACCCAGAAAATACTGGTAAGGTATTTTTTCAGTTCCGATAAACCGAATGCACACCACTAGCCCAGACAGTGCAATGATTGTGACTTAGGCAGTGCTTTTACATGTGCAAGGATCGTAGTGTGAATGGAACAGTGCAAAGCTGGAGACAGATTCCACACACACTTCATTGGACAGGATGTACACCAATCTTCAACAAGTTTATTTTACTAAAATAAATGTATTGAAGGCTAGGGGGTATTTGAATACATTGAGAACTCCAAGTAGAAGTATACCTTAAACGCACTGTTGTAGAGAACAGCAGTGTAGCTGTTTGTCAGTGAAAGAAATCTCTGTCGTTAGGCAGAAATGTTGCAGTTCAGTTTTATACATGTAATAGAAGAATTAATAGTGGTAGCATAAGTTGTCAATCAAGAACTGGCTCAGAATTGTACTTTGCCCCAACAGCTTTCTTGTTGCTTCATCACTTCAGGGAGAGAGCAGTATGTTTGCTTTTGCTTTCAACAAAAACATGGAGCACAGGAGCTTGACAGCTGTGACAACAGATGTTGTCTCAACTGTAATCTGTTCAAAGCTTTTCCACCCATCTATATCTATGGTTACAAAGAAATCCAGATGGCAGAGGCAAATTGTATTGATCCAAAATGCTTGGGGTTTTTTTCTGGGTGAAAAAAAGAATATTTCTGCCCTGATTCAAATAATATTATGGGGGAAGGGTAAAGTATTGGGAGAAATCTAAGTCTCTTGTGCAGATGCAAAGCATGCTATTCTGGTAGCAGCAAATGACTATGGTTTGCTTGGAATTTTTTGGAAGCTGCCTTCACTTTCACCTTTGCCAATGAATCAAGGTTCCTTCATAGCTTCATTGATATTAACCAGGAGATCTGGGTTTCAGAAGTTCCTTTGAAAGTTAGGGAGTCCTAAAATAATTTAGCCCGTGGGCTTCTGGGTGTGCTAGTGGGTTTAAAGAAATGCAGCCACATAGAGAGCAGGCCACTGGAGTAGAAAGTTTGCTTTGTAATGCCATGAGAGCTAATCAGGAGTTGATTCAGCATGCAGAGTGTTGAACTTCCTTGAGGGGCACTCTTTATTGCAGTAGGAACTAGGACAAATGTGAAAATGAATAAACAGCAGAATAGTAACAATGCCCCATTGCCCTGGAAAAAGGCTTTCCTAGGAGGAGATTTTATCTGAAAACACGTATTTATTGTGGGTGTTTTTTTAAGAGTCTCAGAATTTACTATTTTCTCCTCAGGTAAGCACATTAAAGAAGAAGTGGGGACTTTAACATTAGCTACACCATTACATGCAGTTTCTAGAGTAAATCCTCAGGTAAGCTTCGGGGTACCAGACTTACTAGCAGCTGTGTCTTAAATTACATATTCCAACAAAATATGTTAAATTCTCTAAGTATGTAGGAATCGTTAAGAATAGTCCATGTTGGGTTTTCTTGCTGTCAGATTGGTCATATAGCCAAACATTCTTCTTTGTTAAAAGTTGCCATTTGAACCATTAATTGTATTCCATGTTTCTGGTTTTTCTGAATATCTGTTTGTAGCTTCTCTCTGCTTGCCATCTTTTTGTGGCACCTATGCTAGTAGCCAGATTGGCTTGGCCTCAGAGCTGGAGCGGCACCAAGAACCTTCATGTCATTTTGTAGTATGAAGTGGCATGAATCAGCTGCTTAGGCTGTATGTAGTCTAGAGTGAAAGTCTCGATGACAGTAATTAAACTATAGATAAGAAATACAAAATCGATAAAATGACCACTCCCCCCCCCCCTCAGAAAATGCTGATATTGTTGTGAAGCCTAAATTTGTAATTATTGCTATGTAGCTTTGCAGTACAGGATCTAACAATCTTTCCCTTCCCTCTGCAGGACATTAACAAAACTCAGAAATCCACAAAGAAAGAAGGTGTGTGTGAAGCCACTTACAAAATTCAAGAAAACAGGAGTCATTTACAAAGTAATGGTTTGAACTTCCAACATGGTAAATGTATGCGGGACTCCAGCTTAATTCAAGGGGAATGCAGGCTCAGTGATGACAGCCTCAGCCCTGACAGGCCATATGGCGAAACATCATTGTCTGTCCCTCTTCATCCAACCAAGCGGCCCGCATCGAATCCACCCCCTATCAACAATCAGGCAACAAAAGGTGGCTATAATCCTTCTGTATTTGTTTGTCACAGATCACTGTTTGCAAATAATCCAACCAATATTTTCTTAAATAAGTTTAAAGGGATGGAAACATTTAGAAAGTGGGTTTAGAGTACCTCTGGGTCCAGTTCGCAAATCTACAAGTCCCTATCCATATGAAAAACTCGGTGATTGAGTTACTAAAGACAAAAGTATTAAACTAGTGTGGCATAGCAGCTAAGAGCAGGGGTTCGGGGTGCCCAGTTCAAATCATACCTCAGCAGCTAACACAAATGACTTTGGGCAATTGACTCTTAATCTTAAGTGCAAATCAGCAATATGGGATATAGTAACAGTGGCAAGCCTTGCAGGGTAGTTAGCATTACTAGGAATTACATGAAAATGTATTCTATAAAAGCTGAGCCTATTATTTTGTATTATACAGTCTCAAATTTGAATGTGTACATTGGACCTCAGTTGTTGTGGAGTTAACTACAAAGATAACTACAATATGTTAAGGGGGGAGAGACTGTAAATACTTATCTTGTGTGGCCTAATGACTACTGATCATGCCTGGAAACTCATGTTGGATCACTGTGGAACTGATTTAATGAAATATGGACGAACAAACAAACCTGAGTTGAGGTGGTGTTTAAAAGTACCTTCTCTTTCCTTTTCAGGCAAGCGTCCAAAGAAAGGAATGGCAACTGCCAAACAACGCCTTGGAAAGATTCTAAAGCTAAACCGAAATGGCCATGCCCGCTTCTTTGTTTGATGTAGGAGCAGCTATCACTGCTGCTCCCTCTCTCTTTTTTAAACACACAGACCAGTATTGAGGGTAACAGTGCCTGGAGCTTCTGTTTATTCCTCAGCTCGAAACAGAATGCATGTATCCTATTAGAACACTGCCTGATGAACAAAAACGCAATGCTGCATTTTCACTGTGCCACACCTGCTCAGCAATAACCATTTGGGTAAACAGGGGAATATTCAAAGAGACAATGGATTGGGAGACGGTCCTTCTTTATTCAGGGCTCAATCATTTTGTTGCTGATAGTGTCTGAGCTAATTCATGAACAGGAGAGTGGGATGAAGGTGGTTATCAATAATTTATTTGACAGATCTTGGCAACTATTTGAATTCATTTTTAAACTATTTATTTGGAAGACGTTTTTTGTGGGAGCAATGACTTTAATTTTATATGTTAAAAAATGTGAAGGGTTTTTTTTTTTAATTGTCCTTAATGTATGTCTTGCAGTGGGGAGCCACATGAATGATTTACTCTGGATACAAGCATTTGATATAGATTATAGTCTTAAAAACATGGATGTGGTGCATTATTAATTTAAATTAAGGCACATGAAATCATACTTTAATTTCTGTCATTTATATAAGCTCTTGGCTGGCTTTTTCCTGGACTTATCTAAAGTACGCATTCTCTGCCTGTTTCGTCAACTTCTCTCTCATCCCTGGCCCCTTATCCCTATCCTGCTTTGCCATTTATTATGGACTGTAAATTGGCACAGCACTGGCAGAGGGAAGCTTGAACCAGTAGGTTCAGTAGTGCTTTTGCTCTCATACACGTCCTTCTCCCCCCCCCCCCCCCCCATTTGTTTTCATGTCACGGAGAATGATCCATGCAAAGCATGGGTACCTGTACACCAAGGATAGCACTACAATTAGTACATGTAGACACTTAAAAAATGCTTTTTGTGGAGGTAGATTGTTATGGTGGCAGAGTACTGCTTGATTGCATATGCCAGCCAAAAAGGTCTTAAATGGTTCTTGTGTATACATATGTATATGTAAATGTATTTCATAGCTTGCTAATCTCAGAATGACTATTTTATGTCATGCTTTGCAAAGATCTGGTAGGAAATGCCAATTCTGAAATATATGTAAATATCTTAGATGATAAAATTGTATTTTTGTAATATAAAATTGAATATTTAAGCTCTTCTCTGGAGGAAAAGGAGAGGCACCTATACTACTTTTTTTGGGCAAGAGGGCTACTCAGTACTAAAGTGGGAATAGTAGAGATACTACTCTGGAATTGTTTTCTTCTGTTGATCAAGAGTTAAAGCATGGCCAAAGCTACTCAGTCGCTTGACTTCTTAACAACAATAAAAACTTCTCAGCCTCCATGTTAAATCTCAAAATATATAAAATCTAGAAGTCCCAGAACAGAATTTATGTGCTTAGTTTTATTCTCTATATTCAGTATTTGCTTCCTGTACTTTTGGATGTCTGTATTAGACTGTACGTAATGCCCTTCATCCTTTAACCAATGTTAGTTAAGGTCCCCTGGCAGTTACAGTTACAAAGAGTTGGCCAAACTGCTCTGTGGAAGCGTTTCAAGGTGGCAGTCCTTAATCCATTTGGTAATAACATTCAAGTCCTCTTCACTTCAGTGGGCTTAGTAGTACACAGTTGGGTGCAGGATGGCACCCAAACACTTTTAAGTTTGTAATTTTATGTACTTGGAAATAAGACCCATTGAAATCAGTGACACTTCTGAATAAATATGGCTAGGGATTTGGAGTATAAATGGGAGTAAAACTAGATCAAATAATAAGATTTTGCCTGTGTGCTAGTTTTGAGTAAGAGTTTTCATCACAGTGTAGCTCAAAACTGGTTGGAAACCATATTGGAGAATTCGTACATTGCCAGCATAATTACAAATAGAGCAGATTACTAAGAGAAAGCTCAGTGCTTTGGAGAACAGCTGTAATGACTAGTATTGATCCAAGAAAATGATCTTCAGAACAATTCATGTGTCTTTAATTAAGCTCTAGTATATTTAAGTTGAAATATTTGGATGGTTTTGTTCTCAGTACCTCTTCAAGTAGGATTAATGATACCTTGCTGTAGGTAGGGAAAACAGTACTAAGGTGCTTGGTTTTTGAAGCCTTGGGTTTGGTTCTAATACAGTTATCTTTAGTAAGCCATCCCTGCCCCCCAGTTTTTCTTAAGATATTCCAAACAAATTCTGAGAGGTGTAAAAACTGTTTAAATTTAGATTGAAGGCAAAGTACAGTGAATGGGAAGCATGTAAGAATGATTAAATTGGAACTCTGTTGCTGGACCTCGAGTAACTAACTCATAAACTGGTTTAGTTTCTCTAAGTGTATCTCTGTTCTAAAATTTATAGCTCTGCCATTATTGGCAGAAGGAGAGAGAGGGGTAGATTTTGGCTAGAACCATATGTTTTAATATTTTCTCTCACTTTCACCCCACTGCCTCTCCATGGTCCTGAGCATGCAAACATCTCTTTATAACCTACCCCAAAGAGGACAACATACACAATTTTTGGATTTCCCATGTTTCAAATGGGAATTGAGGAAAATATTCTTTAACTTCAGCAAGGTTTTACTAAAATAAATCATTGAATTAGGAGAGGAAGGACACTAAATCTGTATAAGTGCAGATAAATTGCCTTGAAAAGTGGTCGCTTGATGAAGAGATTCTAATGGCCAGAGCTTGTCTGTGTGTGTAATGTTGATAACATGCTTGATAGAGATCCCTCCTGCACCAAACGTTCTACATGTAGGTTGTCTCTCTGCCCTACCTCTGTTATTTCATCACCTTGTGGGGGGAGGGAGAGGAAAGTAGTGTTTAAGTCATATGTGACAGAAGGTTACGGAATCTTTTTCAAAGAAGAGCCATTTTTTAAGAAAAGAAAAAACTGACCAAGAATTTCATATGTAGGGTGGAATTATTAGGGACTCTCTCTCCCTGGGAGAGAGGTAGGGAAGAGACGTAGGCAAAATGCAAATATTTAATTCCATCTCTCTAGTTTTTTGTAACTTTATTTTTGACCAGACAATTTGAACATACAGCATCATCTAAGGGCTCTGTTGGCCTAATCTCCAGTGACCTCCTTGTCTTCTTACTACCCAGGCTATAAAGTAGCCTTAAATGACCTCTGTGGTAGATCTACCTATGCAATCAATAACATTGATAGTCTTAATCATTCTCAAATCATTTCCAAAAGGGTATAACCAATAGAGCGAAGATCACAGTGTCATGTGTCACATCAAAGAAACTGAATTTCACATAAGCATTTAACAATACACAACCTGCCTTCATTCACCAGGATGTGTAGTCATTAAACACTGAAATCTTTGTAGGACTGAAACCTTGGTAACCTGGAGGAAACTGAGGAAACCTGATGCTATAATAGACAAGACTGAATTGGATTGTGCCTCTCTGCCTCTCCCACAATTTCTGTGCCACCAAAAATCTCAAGGTGTCTTTTTGCTTAAAAAATAATATTCTGAAACCTTGCATCATACTTCCAGACCATTAAAAACTGTTCATGGCCCTGGACCTAAGTAAGGTCAGGGCAACTTTGATTTTGTGGAAGAAATATAAACTGATCTAAAGGGCCTTACTGTTTGTAGTTCAACTGGATTGAAAAGCTGCAACATCTGTTCATTTTTTTTTTCTAAAAAGGCAAAGATACAAAATGAGTAAATCGTGCAGCATTGGGTGGGAAGAAGACTAGCACTGATGAGGGAATGCAGCTGTTGCTAAGGCAGCATTCCCACCTGGAAAAGGACTTTTCTACTTGGAATATAAATTGAAGCCATAATAGTTTCTTGCTGTTGGGAAGGGGAATGAAAGAAATCACTTTAAGAGATTATATTAATATGAATGATCACTTCTGCTGGGAAATGTTTAACATTGCTGATACTTTGGCGTTTTTAAAATATTCATTGCATTTGGAAAAAAGGGGGGGAGATGGGTCTTTGCTATATTTACTAGTTTTGTAGTAGTGTTTTGCTGATGTGTCGTTTTCC